CTTAGACTTTATGTTAAACAACACTTTTAACAAAACGAATCCTTACAAGCGTAGGCTTGGCCTGTGTAATCTCGAAGGTTTAGAAGTAGAAATAAAAGAGTCTACTACTAGAGTCTAGAGTCTAGTCCAATTTATTTAATCTCTTGAATGTACTGGATAACAGAAATCTGCAACCTGCAACTAGATTACAACTCTAGATCTAGATCTAGATTCGAGATTTTAGTAAAGGCAGAGTCCAGGGGAAAACATCAACAAATTCGCGTGGTGATGAGTAAAGAGAGACCAAAACAATACTCAATATATCACGACTATCACGGCACATCACTTCGCCGAATACATGTTCCGGTAACTACCTATAAATAGATTGAAGGTTCACCTATGTCAAATGTTGGGATGTGGCTGACGATTCGGGATGTGGTTGCGGGTTGACGAAAGGGAAAAGCGCGGCGCCGAGCCGAGATCTGAACCAGTGTCTCTGCCTGAACCCATCTGAGTGTTCATTGTTTAGGTGTGAAATCTGGTCAAAATAATTCCAAATGATCTATAAACTATTTGAATCAATCAGTTGAAAACAAGGTTTTCTTTCCAAGAATAGAATAAAAGTTTCTTTCGTACCCCATCCAGACGTTTGACGGAAGACACAAGAGATATCACCAAGAACATAACTCAGCCAAAAATGCTACAACAGGTACTCCCATCACACTAAGAGATTGTACTGTTGGGCCAAAGGGCCAAGATGGATTTGGCGCTTGTGTGGTAGGGAGGGGATGGAATGGTAGTTAGCCTGGACCAGAGAGATATAATCATTGGCCTGGACATGGCATGGTTGCGAACTGTCTAAAAATAGGTTTGACTGTCTTTTTTCTAGAAACCAGACAAGCAAGTGAATGTCAAGATGCCCCGAGGGCAATAGTGCATGTGTGTTCTTGACTGTGAATGTGTGCTTTTCTGTTGATCTGTGGGAAGTTATTGTTTTGTGTGTGATTATAATGTGATGTGATTGTGCGCATCTTGAGCGCCGAACTTGGTTCTTTATCATCAGATATATATATATATATATATATCTTGTACCGGTGCTTATCTATTCTTCTGGCATGGAAGTAGGTGTCCCTGTATCAGTATTAATACTGAAGGAAGAGGCGTATATTGTAGGTCTACAGTTTATAGGCCTGTAATAAGAGGGCAGTACTATTCGTTGGGCATAAATTAGTTCTTGGCGCCACCTTCTCTGGAAGTGACGCCACGCCCTTGTTCTAGCTATCCGTATATTACTGTATATAGGTGTATACTTTTGTGCTACCATACATTTACAGAACCATTTCCTTTGAAAGTAAAAGAAAGTTCGGTTGTTGTTTTTTTTTTACAGAAAATGATTGTCAGTGTCATTAGACTCACTGTCCACTTCCTCATTCCATCACACGGTGACATGACAAGGCAAACTGTCTTTTCTTTGACTTTATGCCTGTACAACGCAGACGTGCTGACCACTTTTTTGTCATTCCTTTTTGTGGGTCGGTGGAAAGAAATCACAGGTCTCCAACGTTTACGATTACAGAAAATAACCCAGTGTTCCTGTGGTTGTTGTGTGTTCCTTCTCTTGAAATGTAAAATAAATGACATAATAATAATAATAATAATAATAATAATAATAATAATAATAATAATAATAATAATAATAGATAGCATTTGTATAAAATACCGCAAATCCCCGCTCAACAGCTAGCTCTGTGCGCTTCACAATTTATACTATTACCCCAGCAGACCTCAGAGAGTCTTCTGAAACAACTTTAACTTCCTGGGAAGCATACAGTGCAAGCAGCCATTTATAGGCGCTAAGACACTAACATACTGACACGATCTTTCATTGTCTAAGGCTGGGTACCCATTCTCACAAGGGTGAAGTGATGCAAATTTGTGTAAATAAAACAGCGCCTTTCCCAAGGACACAACGTCGGGCCCGCAGCTCGAACCCCCGAACACGCAACCTCACGATTACGAGTCCGGTAGCCTAACCACTGGGCCACCGACACCACATGGTGTTTGAGAAAAGGGACTAAAAGCACAAGTGGGATGAATTTGTTGTAGACAGTCAGAGTAAATTTTAGGTTTTTTTTAAAAGTGTGTAGCATAGAAGCCACATCTCAACTTGATCATTCGTTTTCCGTGATTAGATTCATCAAAATAGAATACCTTACTATACCTGTGTGTAGAATAAACTTGGTTAGATAACTTGTTTATAAAGTCTATTATAATTGTCTTCTTCCAGACGTTTCATTTTACCATCAGAGATAATTGTCCGCTATTTGTCTTCTTCCAGATGTTTCATCTTACCGTCAGGGTTAGATAATTATCCTTTTTTTGTCTTCTTCCAGATGTTTCATCTTACTGTCAGGGTTAGATACATTGTCCATTATGTGTCTTTTCCAGATGTCTCAACGTACCCTCATAGGCCACTGACTTCCTGTCACCTGGTACAACAGACAAGTGATATGCTGAGAAGACAAGGTCAAAGTTCAAGCTGCAGATTTCAGACAGGACAAAGGGTCTATGAAGAGAATGTTGGCAGTGTCCGGAAAGAAACCTCTTCTGTTGACATCGGTGCTGTGGAGAGAGTCTGTGACCTCCATCAGAACATAGCAGGTGACAAGCAGATGGACAACAGAAATCTCTACCATGGTCGGGAAAGTCCTCACGAGTGTAAAGTCTGTGGTGAAATGTTTTCAGAAGTAGGTAACTTACAGACGCACAAAAAAACCCACACAAGAGATAGGCCTCACCAGTCTGAAGTTTGTGGTGCTGCATTTACCAAGAGCAGACGTCTACAGGATCACAAAGGAACACACACAAGAGAAAGACCTTACAAGTGTGAAGTTTGTGGTGCCACGTTTACACAGAGCGGACATTTACAGGATCACAAAAGAATACACACCGGGGAAAAACCTTACAAGTGTGAAGTTTGTGGTGCCACATTTACATTCAGTAGCAGTCTACGGAATCACAAAAGAATACACACAGGAGAAAAACCTTACAAGTGTGAAGTTTGTGGTGCCACATTTACATTCAGTAGCAGTCTACAGCGTCACAAAAGAACACACACAGGAGAAAGACCTTACCAGTGTAAAGTTTGTGGTGTCACTTTTACGCAGAGCGGACATCTACAAAGTCACAAAAGAATTCACACTGGAGAAAAACCTAGGCGCGAAGTTTGTGGTGCCACATTAACAGATGGTAACAGTCTATGGTGTCACAAAAGAACACATTCAGGAGAAAAACCTTACAAGTGTGAAGTTTGTGGTGCCACATTTACATGTAACAAAAGTCTACAGCGTCACAAAAGAACACACTCCGGTGAAAATCCTTACAAGTGTGAAGTTTGTGGTGCCACATTTACACAGAGTGGACATCTACAGGATCACAAAAGAATACACACCGGGGAAAAACCTTACAAGTGTGAAGTTTGTGGTGCCACATTTACACTCAGTAGCAGTCTACGGAATCACAAAAGAATACACACAGGAGAAAAACCTTACAAGTGTGAAGTTTGTGGTGCCACATTTACATTCAGTAGCAGTCTACGGAATCACAAAAGAATACACACGGGAGAAAAACCTTACAAGTGTGAAGTTTGTGGTGCCACGTTTACATATAACAAAAGTCTACAGCGTCACACAAGAATACACTCCGGAGAAAATCCTTACAAGTGTGAAGTTTGTGGTGCCACATTTACATGCAGTAGCAATCTACAGAATCACAAAAGAATACACACAATAGAAAAACCTTACAAGTGTGAAGTTTGTTGTGCCACGTTTAAGCAGGGTGGCAATCTACAGCGTCACAAAAGAACTCACACTGGAGAAAAACCTTACAAGTGTGAAGTTTGTGGTGCAGCTTTTACACAAAGCGGACATCTACAGAGTCACAAAAGAATACACACAGGAGAAAAACCTTACACATGGGAATTTTGTAGTGCCACGTTTACACTCAGTAACAGTCTACGTTGTCACAAAAGAACACATTTAGGAGAAAAACCTAACAAGTGTGAAGTTTGTGGTGCCACATTTACATGTAACAAAAGTCTACAGCGTCACAAAAGAACACACACGGGAGAGAAACCTTTCAAGTGTGAAGTTTGTTGTGTCTCTTTTACACGGAGCGATGATCTACAAAGTCACAAAAGAATACACTCGGGAGAAAAACCTTACAAGTGTGAAGTTTGTGGTGCCACATTTACACAGAGCGCACATCTACTCAGGCACAAAAGAACTCACACGGGAGAAAAACCTTTCAAGTGTGAAGTTTGTTGGGTCACTTTTACGCGGAGCGAGGATCTACACAGGCACAAAAGAACACACACAAGAGAAACACTTTTTAAGTGTGAAGTTTGTGGTGCCACTTTTACAGATGGTAACAGTCTACAGCGTCACAAAAGAATACACACAAGAGAAAAACCTTACAAGTGTGAAGTTTGTGGTGCCACATTTACATGTAACAAAAGTCTACAGCGTCACAAAAGAATACACACAAAAGAAAAACCTTACAAGTGTGAAGTTTGTGGTGCCACGTTTACGCAAAGCGGCAATCTACAGCGTCACAAAAAAACTCACACGGGAGAAAGACCTTACAAGTGTGAAGTTTGTGATGTCACTTTTACACGGAGCGAACATCTACAGAGTCACAAAAGAACACACACAGGAGAAAGGCTTTTCACAGTGTGACATTTGTGGTGCCAGGTTTACATAAAGAGACCATCTATGGAGACGCAAAAGAACACACGTGAGAAAAAAAAATCTATCAAGTATTTGGCAGGGGCGGCTCGTGGGTCTAAAAAGTGGGCGTGCACAATTAAGCTATCTTACGTTTAAGATAGTCGAGGGCATAGTAAATGAGATGGTGTATAATTATAGGATCTTTGTGTTGGTGAGGGAGAACCTTGTGATTCTATTTTCATTGTTTTTACTTGTGGCCTTGACTTCTAGAACTAAATCAATTTCATTCATCCTGCTTTAGAACTGAACACTCAAGTAATACCTTTTACCATTCCACTACAAAATCGTTCAAAAGCACAACTCATAGGACGATGACTTAAGTATGTCACGTTCACTTCTCTCAGGTTTACGGTCACAGAGTCACTTAAAGTAGCGGCAAGACAATGAACCAATCGCAATTCACTTGAGCACTCCGATGGATTGCTCCGGGGCTGACATAAGTTTGGCATAGAATAGTGCACAGTCTATGGCGTTTATTTTTAGATTGCCTACTGTGGGCTATGTTTCGGCACTATTTGGCAGGAGCACTTTTGAGATGTGCCGTCTTATTAATATTAATGTACCGCCAAACTCGCTACGAGTGTCGTCATCGCTTGGGTTATCCCAAAGAGCGATTTGTAGGTCAGGTTTCCACTGTTGAATATCCTGCTATGTTTAGACACAGTGCATGAACTTTGGCAAGGCATAGTCGTAGATGTTTTACGGCGCTATAGACACAGAAATGACAGTTATGGTGCCAGTGAGAAACGTATTTTGATATAATATTTGGCTATTGTTTGTTTCTGGCGTGTTTTATTATATTATTGTTGGTGTTTTACGTAATAGAACATTAAACAAATTTAGGCAGCACTGCACGACCGTGCTCTATGGACGAATCGCGCCTGGTATTTTGGGACATACTCTTTGTGGTCCACACGATGACTGAAGGGTAAAAAATGATCTATCTAAAGAAGGCCAGATACAGGTGTGAAATTTGTGCTGCAAAATTTAACTGACTGTGGACTGGCTGTAGACTAAAGGGCATAATTTTGAGGATTCTTTTACTTTTAGTTTAGTTTTTAGTAATAGTTTTATAACACTTGCTGCACAATAAGCTCATATTGTGTCCCTGCCGGTCAATATCAGCCATATGAAGGACATTTCAAAACTGAGTTAATATAATTTTTAAAAACTACTACCCTTTCCCTACCATTTAAAACAAGAATGAAGTAAATATAACAATATTTGACGAAAATACATAACTTTTAATTGTGCAATTTGAGGAAACACGAAATGGAGAAAATAGCCTCCAAAGTTTAGCAATATGTTTCCACAATGGAGGTTTTAGAATTGAGATAGAGACCTGAAATTTAGCAGTTATCTTGGCTATGCCACTACAAGGTAACATACAAAAGTAGAAAACTATTCATTCTCAGAGAAAACAACGTATGGACCAAACAAAATTTTAACGAAAATGAACTTCACGTCAAATGCAACAAAATATTAGCATTATACTAGGTACCAGATACTAAATTTTCAAAGTACATGTAGCTGTATGTCAAATTAATCTGTTCATCATGAAAGGCATATATATGTCTCCTGAGAATTTTGGTACCATACTTTTACCTATCATTCAATGTTTAAGAGAATGGCAGCTGTTTCAATTTAACGTTATAATAATACAATATTGCTGAAGTCGTTACTATGTAACTGGCTGCAACCCCATGTTTGACAGATAGTAAAAGTAAAAGAGTACCAAGTGCACTAAACATCTCTACATTAATTTAAATTAGGCCTACTGGTTTGTTTGGATTTTTTTAAAAGATACATTTTAGTCTACATATATTACTTACCATGCATGCTGTTATTCTTTCTATTTTATACACATATATATATCCCCTTATGTTCACTTCCCTCTTCAACATTATTTCCAGAAGCAGCTGAAGGTCCTTTTCTGAATGTGCAATACACATGTATTAATTAAAACTGTGTCTTTGGCATACCTGGTTATTGTATACAGTATAACACGGATAGCTCGAAATCGTCGGGACCGGCCTCTGTAGTTGGAGGGATCCGTAGTTCGAGGGATATCTTACAAAGATAAAGAAGAAGAAAAAAACGGGACTGCAGTTACAGTTCGACGGATGCGTGATTTCCAGTCTTCTGTGACTTCGACATACCCGTGTTATGCTGTAGTATTTTCTCAATGCACTCTGAGGCCAGGTCTTTCTTCTCAATATATTTCTAAGGGACACAATGCCCATCGACTAATACGGAAAGCATGTAAAATTTCAACATCTTCATTCCCCTACTTGGATGAATTGTATATAACAGCTTGCACTAAGAAAATTAATTCCATCTTTTTAGACAACAAACATCCCTTGTTCCCTCAAATAAAAACATCAATCAGAAGTAAAAGACCCATGCTTCTGATCTGTAACAAAGAAAGATACAGAAGGTCATTTTTACCATCATCTATCAAAATGCTTCCATCTTAACCATCTTGTATAAGTATACTTACGACCTTAGAGCATGCATCAAAATAACATTGAGTGTGTATCTAGCTTACGATTATTATTGTTTATATTGCTGCTCATTTATATTATGCATGTGATTGTAAACCTACTTGTGTGTGCCTGTGTGTGCACGTGTGTACGTGTGTGTGTTTGTGTGTGTGTGTGTGTGTGTGTGTGTGTGTGTGTGTGTGTGTGTGTGCGTGTGTGTGTGCGTGTGTGTGTACGTGTGTGTGTGTGTACTCGTGGTGGAACACCAAACCAATGTGCCAGGATCTGGAAAATAAAGATGTATCTTATCTTATCTTATCTTATCTTTCACTCCCTGGCCTGTGCAGACATACGAGCCCTGTGGACTTTAGTCCAAGAATAACTCACGTTGAGAACTTATATATCCCAATTGCCATAACCGCACGTATTAATACATTTTAGTTGAATAATGCGATACCGAAGCAACACGTTATCACAGTGTGCAGGGGAGAGCGGGGTGCCCGGGTCGCTGACCAGTCGATTCGGAGGTTCGGTTTTTGTAGATCTATGCATTTTTTACGGAAAGCCCTATTACTAGATCTATTACTGTTGTGAAAACTTCAACCTCTACAGCTCCGGCGTCAAAAGATGTTCGAAAATAATAATACGTCCTGAAGTTTCATAATTTATACAGAATAACACAGCCAGTAGTTTTTATTTCATCGAGTTATAAAATTGCGCAAATTTGAATAGTTCCAGTTCTACCGAATCGATTTTCACGCGAATTCAACCATTTTGATGATCTTTCTTTTCCTTAATTTTAAAAAGATGTAGGCCTTTCAAATGTGGCAGTGCGATTAACACTGAGTTGTTTAGACCCATCAAAACACGAGGCTTCGTGGCCGATCACAAAAGTCTACGGGGCTTATCGAGGCCCATTTGCCCTGCCGCGTGCACGTTCACTAAACTGCCTACTAGATAGAATCTACTACCAAAGGATTCTCTACACCATCTTTGCTACTACTACTACTACGAGACAGTACGAGAGAGTGCCAGTGCCACTCAGGCAAAGATAGTGTAACTTTGACTCAGCCACTGCAGCCACGTTGTGTACACACTTTTTAACCCCAAATTTGACTTGGAAATCCATTCGGAGGATTTGACCTTTTCACTTGACTAAAGTGTGCCAAAATGGTAGCCTAGCTTTTGCCCCTCCATGAAGGAAAAATCTGGCGCTCATTCAAACCATTGGGATTGAGTGAGCAAAATTTTGCGTATTGTGCTTTGTTCTTACAATATTCATTATGATTATGGTTTATAAGTTGTACACTGAGACAAAACTGTACTAAATGAGAAAGGTGCACCATTATGAAAGTGGAACGAACTCAGTTGCCTGAAACGGGTAGTTTGAGCATGTGTGGCCTAAATAAGCTAAAACCCCCCTCCCTTACCTTATTTAGGCCATATGTGGCCTTAATAAGCTAAACCCCCCTCCCTTACCTTATTTAGGCCATATGTGGCCTAAATAAGCACTCCCTAAACTCAAAGGTCAACAGCGGCAATAATTTTTGCAAATGCCTTGCCCTTGTTTTCGGGGCTGTTGTTGTTTTGGTGTTTTTTGTTGGTAAAACAAAATAATTTTTAAAATATAATTAATTGGTGACAATCAAAAGCGGTGGCAACGACTGAATCGATTCAGTCAGTACTGTAGGCCTACATATTAATGAAATGTGGTCTTTTTTTTTTTGTGATACAGCGAGAGAGATCGAGCGAGCTCTAGCTGGGGGAAGGGGGTTGGGTTGTTGGGGAGGGGAGGCTGTAGGTGGGCTCCAAACAGGCAGTCAGCGGTGCGGCGTTGTGATTGGCCAGTCCAGTGATGAGTGAGGTGGGACAGGTGGCGGAGAGAGATGAGATGGTAAGGAGAGACGCGTTAGGCCTACGTTTTTCAAGGCCTCCGCACAACCCACTCGCTTCACATACAGGTTCCAAGAGACCTTGTGGGTACTGTGGTCGCCTCCCTAGCCACAAACGAGACGCCTGCCCTGCCAAGTCTGCAGTCTGTGGTTCCTGTGGCAAGAGAGGCCACTATAAATTATAAAGCAGTTTGCCGTAGTCACCCCAAAGTTCAGGAAGTCACAGTCACAGTCAACTCCTACCCCGTAGCTGAGGCCCCAGACTTTTTAGGTTCCTTCACTGTGAACCAAGTCGACAGCCCAGACGAGTGGTGTACAATGTGCAATCATCAAGCTGAACTCCATCCCAACAAAGTTCAAGCTTGATATACTGGTGCTGAGGTCTCTGTCATGGGAGACAGAAGTGTGGACACAAGTCAGCCTCTCAATAGCTGCAATAACATTCTAGTAAGAGGCCCTGGTTGCACAACTCTGTATACTCTTGGCGCCAAATTTGAGACTGATCTAAAGTTCAAAGAAAAATCCATGAAAGAGACAATGGTTGTTGTAAGACAAGGTGGTGCATAATTGGAAAGTGAGCAAATGGGCAATAGGCTTACTAGCCACAATTAAATTGTAAAGAGCGGTTAGCGGGCGCTCTGGTGTGGTCTTTTCTTTCTACAGTGGGTGTCGCATTCGCTGAGGTTGCCGGGACCGGCTT